TCCGGTGCGGGCCGCCGACGTCAATGCCTTCCTGCGCGAAGTATCGGGTGCACGCGTATCGTTGAAGGATTTCCGCACGCTCGTCGCGTCCGCCGGGGTGATGAAGGCCCTATCCACCGCTCCGCCGGCCGAGACGGTACGGGCGCGAAAGGCGTTGCTGCGTGACGCGATCGCCGCCGCGGCCGAAACCCTGACCAATACACCGACCGTATGCCGCAAGAGCTACGTGCACGGTTCGGTGATCGCGGCGTTCGAGCAGGGTGCGCTGCCTGAAACAGCTGGCAGCCTCGAGGGCGCGGCGAAGGCGCTTGCCCGGGTGGTGGCACGCCATCGCTGAATGTCCCTAGAGAGGACCGCCGCCCCGGAAGAGTCCCTTGATGCGCCGGACAGTGGCTTCGCGATCGGCTGCCTGTCGCGCCCTCGTTTCGAGCCATCTCTGTCCGACCGGAAAGGCGAACTTCAATGCGAGGCCATAGGCGATGGCGAAGGTGAATGAACTGCCGAGGAGTTTCGGCATCGACACTTCAAGACCGCTGGCGCAGATCGAATAGACGAAGGCGAGCGCGGTACCCTGCCGCACCATCCAGGGAACGTCGAACGAGAAGAAGAAGCGGATGACGAGGGAGACCATCAAACCGATGGCGAAAATGCCGCCCAGCATTCCGGGAAAACCGAGATCGACATAATTCTCGCCCATGTAGCCGACGCTGATCGACGTGCCGCCGCGCATGTTCTCCATGACATCGGCCTTGGTCAGGCGAATGAAGACCTCGGTGTCCGAAAGAGGCTGCTTTTTGGGGAATAGGAAGCGGGGTTGGAGGACGTGCGCAAAAGCATCGCCCCATTGCCGCATATCGGACTGCTCCGAACCCGCCAAGTCGACGTTGATCACCAGGCCGGTAATGTCCACATAGGCCAGGCGCTCGAGCAGAGCCTTCGACGCCAGTCCCCAGTCGATGTCGGCGACCCCGAGGACGCGGCCGACCATGTAGCCGGCGCGGTCGCCCAACGACGACCGGAACGCCTGCGATTCCGAACCGCCCGTGGCAATGTCACGATACTCGACTTTGACCGATGTCCAGAACAGGGCGAGGAAGACCAGGACAAAGGTCGCCAGCGCCGCATAGCCGCTGGTGCGGGCCGTCCACCTTGACCTGTGCCGCCAGCGCGGCGGTGCCCAGAAACACGAATACGCCGCGGAAGTCGCCCAGCAACCCGGTCATGCCCGACAGGATCTCGACCCCGAGCACCGCGAACAGGAAAGGCCAGCCGCGCGACACCGACATGACCGAGGTGAACAGCAGGAACGCCGCCATGATCTTGAAGCGCGCAATGGCATCGAAGAACTGGAACAACGCACCGCCGAACGTGAGGCCGGCGAATTGCGTGATCAGGTTGGAACCCAGGTAGATCAGGAAGACGTCGACCGGCCGCCAGTACAGGTGGGCCGACCAGTTCTGCTCGGTCGGCGGCTGAATGCCTCCGAGAACCACCTTGCAGGCGAGCGCCAGGGTGACCGTCGAGGCCAGCATGTACCAGTAG